AGCTCTTTTTTGTTCAAATTTTATCTCAGGCAAAATACGACCAAGTAATCAGGATCCTGTGATGCGATTGCAGTACCAACTGACAAAATAACACTTACCAAAACTGAATTCCACAGCGTCATTAGGGTTGTTGGGTAGAACAAACCCATACTCTACTAACAAGTGAGCGTTGTCATGGTTACCGTAGGATATAAACACCTGATCGTACTTCCTGTATGTGTTCTCAGTCTGGATCTCATAGCAATTACTGTTTACATTGAAAGCTGCAGTTATCTGAAAGCAGACAATATTTTATGATTAAAAGGGGCAATCTCAGTGCAGATGCCATTTGCAAAACTGATACAAGGTGAACAGTGAAAAACATTGTTTGGGAAAGAATTGAACGACCAGAATATTTGTAGCTTATAACCTGTAGACAACTGGAATTAAAGCTACCTCACCACCCAATCCAGTCCTGCAACTCAACAAACACTAATTCATATAGATATATATTACCGTCCCTTTGATGTTTCTACCTATTGTTCTATAGATTTATGTGTTCAGGGAAGGCCCCATAATCAGGATCCTGTGATTCGATTGCATATATATAAAGAAAATCAGCTTTTATCGAATGAAAATCTATATTGTCATCTGTGATCTGTATTTCAGCAGATTACGTGATCTGGACTTACATTAGCATCATATGAATGGTTAAGCAGGTCCAGGAATGGTGCCAGGGCTAGGTGGTTCCCGTCAGCCAGGAATTCTTCACACAAGTTGTGTTTATAGTACACAGATCTAGTGTTGACAGAATACCAAGCCCACAAAAAATCTGGAAGTGTTATAACTGGTGCTAACTCAGGCCAGCAGGACCTGATAAAGTCTGTAACCAACTTAAATGCTGTGTGTACTTTTGAGATCTCTGTTGAGGCTCGTGACCTTACAGTTTTGGGCAGGAGATTCAGTTCAGTCTCGGAGAAAAAGGAAGGTGTAGTGTACTTCTTAGGTAATATGTTGATGTAAGGATACCAGAATGATGATTCATGTTTTGCTTTTTCAGCTAATAGAAAAATTGACATAGCTTGTTGAGAAGATAACCGTTTGTCCCATCTGAAACACAAATAATCAGAATTTATGAATTTGAACATAATGATCGTTATTATTGTAATGGATGCGTGCCTACAGTTCGTTACCAAGTTTTATCTTGGACCCAGTAACTGTTGTAACAAATAAATGCCGACAATATATACCAAATAATGGCCATCTATCTGACTCAAATAACTATTACCTAATGATTCAACAAACTAC